AGACCAACTTGGGATACCAACTCTCTAATAGAGAGTGGGACCCATTGCATTGGTGGGCTCCACCTCTATTAGAGAGTTGGTCTCCCAAGTTGGTATCCCTACCATGACCCATACAAAAAATAAGAGGGTCTTCTCAAACTCATGTCATGTAGTCATATGGTGGGCCCCACATAGCATTGTGTGAAGGCAAATTATATTATATTAATAAACACAAACATGAGATGAGACAATCAAGCAGCACATATAAATGTTGGGTTCCTCCAAATTTGTGCTCTCTTTTCAGTCTCAGTTACGTGACAAATTCTCACCCTCAGCATCTCCTCCACTCCTGATACCTCTTCTCTCTCTCTCTCCATTATATGCTTCAAACCTAGTGTCATTTCACTCTCTCTTTCTTTACACAGACCACTACTGCTTAAGAGAGAGGGAGAGGGAGAGAGAGAGGAGAGAGTGCTCAATTTAAGTTGTTGATTCTTAGAAGCTTCAATCTATGGCTTCTTGGGTTCTTTTACCAGTAACTCCAGTAACCGGTCGCTGTCTAGTAGCTCCCGTGAGAACTCAGAGGTCCTCCTCCATCTGCGTTCGGTCTTCTCTGGACACAAATGTTTCTGACATGAGTGTAAATGGTAAAGTTCCCATATTTTTTCGCTTCAATTTGACAATTATCTCTCTTTTTAATTGTTATTCAATCTCTTTTGATTTCTGGGTATTCTTACTTTTGGTGAATTATAATGAATTTGAGGAAACTGGTGCTGAGAGCACTATTAAGTTAGTATTCTGAGATGAATGTTTACTCTGCCAGCTCCAAAAGGGTTGTTTCCACCTGAACCTGAGCACTACCGAGGTCCCAAGCTGAAAGTGGCTATAATTGGAGCTGGGCTTGCAGGCATGTCAACAGCAGTTGAGCTTTTGGATCAAGGCCACGAGGTTTGTCCAATTTATTTTCTAGGCCTCCGACTGCTCACAATTATGTCTGAATTGTATGTTTCTTTCAGTTTAGTTTTTCATTTCAGTATATGAATTAAAGTTTTAAAATTGGAAACTTTGGCTGAAACGTTTCAGTGGCTCACTTAAGATTTTCCGCTAGGTTGTTTCTTTCTAGGAAATTAGTTACATGTGTTCTTTGTAAATTCTGTAGGTGGATATATATGAGTCAAGGCCTTTCATTGGTGGAAAAGTGGGCTCCTTTGTTGATAAGCGTGGAAACCACATTGAAATGGGACTCCATGTTTTCTTTGGTTGCTACAGTAATCTTTTCCGATTAATGAAAAAGGTGAACAAATATTGCTTGGTTGAACTGCTATGACATTTGGGTGATCCTGAT